AGAAGCAGTAAATCACACAGCGAGTGTAAAAGAATATAGATGCCTTTTGAAATAAGAAGGCATGAATTTGTCTTGATACAGTCAGTATCTGGCAAATTGTTTAGAATGAAAATCTTTGCTTTCTTAACTGGAAAGCAGGGATAATGGAATGTTAGAAGTTGTTACAATCATTGTAGGCATCAGATGGTTCTGTATAATAAGCCATATTATGAGCTAACCAGGTAGAAATGGGAGGCCATGCAGGTCGCTTGCTCTGTCATAAATGCGGAAAGCAAACTTTTCATGAGACTAGCATAGATCCAACCCAAGATATAAAACACACAGAAATCCAACAATCAACAATGAACCATTTATTTTTAAATCCCTTCTAACCTTCAGACAGGTTGTAAGCAAAAGGCATAGAATTACAATACACATTTTGCCTCCATTCCCAAATCACTCGCTTTTCACCATGTTGGTTTTATCATCTGTTTCGTTTCCTCCTTCCTCTATTTTCCCCCTGTAATAATATCTAGTAAGTTGTGTATAAAATGTTTCTTTGCAAAAAAAAACCACAAAACCCAAATAAAAAAACCCCACAAAAATCCTTCAATCTTTTTATCCTCAAAAGTTAAAAAAAAAAAAAATCCTTTAAACTCTCACTCTAAGATTTATAACCAAAAAAATCAGCAAAACCTATTCTCGGCAAATTAGTCTCAACTCACAGTGACCCCTGTAGGACAAAGTGGAACTGCCTTTTCAGGTTTCCAAAGCTGTAAAATCTTAACAGAAGCAAGAATGCATGTGCCTGAGTAGCGGCTGGTGAGTTTGAACTGCCAAAATTGTGGTGGCAATTGAGTGTTTGACCACTGCACCACCTCTACATGGCTACAATTCTTAAAAAAATAAAATAAAAAATCAGGGCATTAATGAAGTTACAATTAGACTTTGTGTTTTCAAATTATTTAGCTGGTATAATGGCAAATATACTATTTCTGTTAATAATAACCTTAAAGTTTGCTTAGGATAAATTTCTCTAACATTTTGGGCATAATTTTTATGTGAATTTACCGTCTTTACAGCCTTTCTTCATAAGATGAAGAAGATTCTCTTAGGACACATAAATACACAAAATAAACTAGTGTCTGGAAATCTACACATTGGACTGCACATAACATGAGGATTGTAGGCAGTGGAGAGTTCCAGAAATATCACTAATTAGAAAATATGTGGAACAGTGATATTTCCTATATAGGTCAACCTATATGTAAATGGCCAATTTCATCTTCAAATTAGATAATGTTAAGTACTGAAATAAACTTGATTTTAGAGTTTATTGGTAGCTAAATAATACTGAGTCACAATCAGTTGATAAAATGGGTTCTTAAATATCTGCAATAAGCTTTAAATGCTGCCATTAAAAAACAAGAACGAGACAAAAACAAAAACCTTTTGTGAACTCAAAGAGCTAATTGTCATATTAGCTGACATTTGTATAAAGCATGACAATCGAGAAAAGATTCCTATGTCATTTTATTTATAGTAAAGTATAGTAAAGCAACCTTTAGGTTGATGAATGACTTTTATCAAATACAAAGGGCTGATTTTATACAGAGCTTAGTTGAATTAGGATGGTTTAGCAAGGCAATTTGGCCAAGTATCATTGCTGTGATGTTTGTAAGGCATGCACGATGGCTCAGAATTGTACATTTTAACACTTACAGCTGGTTTTGGCCCCTTGACGTGGAGTACGTGATAAAGTCTGTTTCTGTCAGAGCAGTTTCTGACCTCCCTCCTGCCATGATCTTGAAGTTTTGATAAGAGATCAAAATCTTAAGTCACTGACAGGAAGTCAGTTCCTCCTCCTAGCGACCCTCCATCAGGTTTCTGAAGCTGTAATTTTCACAGGAAGACAATCACCTTTCCCCCAAAAAGCCTCTGGGGGAAAGAAACTACACTATGACCTAGTTAGTGAAATGACCCTCACGGATTACAACGCCGGAACTCCCTTGCTGGGAGCAAAGGTGGGTATTTTCTGACTTGGATTTTCTTTTACTTCAGATATGTTTCCTACATCATGATACTTGACTATCCAAATTGGTTCAGGCGAAAAGTTAGGAACTCAGAGAATAAAGTGACAAAGTTGGCTCCTGTTCTTTGCCATGTCATAGATTACTCACTCCTGTTTGTCATAAATTGGTGCCTTGGAGTTACGTGTTGGAGAAGAATATTGACTATGCCATGGACTACCAAAATGCTTTTAGAAGGGGCTATTCCTTGGAAAGGGATGTTATGTTAGGAAAGGTGAAAGGTCCACAAAAGAGAGGAAGAATCTTTTTGGCATGGAGTGACACAGTGACTGCAGCAATGGACTCAAATATGCCAGAGAGGATGAGGATGGTGCAGGATAGGGCAGGGTTCAGATCTGCTGTTTATAGGGTCGCTATGGGTCGCAATGGCACAAAGCAACAACAATTTCCATAAAATTCTCATTCATAATATTTGTAAACATTTTCTTTCAAATAATGTATTTGAAAGTATCTTCCCATTGTGCCTTGATATCCTTTGTAGTTTTGAGTTTGGTGGGATTTTTTTTTTCTAATTGAGAAAAGTGGAGTTTATCCAAGCATGTAATAGGAAGATGATTTGCTAAAAAGCAAATTACGCCTCTCGTTTGGAGAATGCAAGTTTATCCAGGGCATGAGTGAGATAATAGAAATAGACATTTGGCATCCTTGAGAGTTTGCCAACTGTATGATGTTTTTAGTGTGCCAATTAGGCAGAGGCAGATAGTGTGCAGCTTCATGCCTCCACAACAGATGTGTCACATTTTTTTTTATTTTATTTTTTTTTATTTTTGTGTGAGTGTACCGTCAAATCAGATCTGACTGGTACAGGAGGAAATTGTCCCTCCTTTCCCAGCAGAGCATCTGGTGGATTCGAACCATGTGCCTCTGGGATTGTAGTTGCAGGTCCTTGCCACTAGGCCACCAGAGCTCCCCCAGATGTGTCACATTTTAACGGAAGCTCAAAACTCCTGAAAAATGGTACATCACAACTTAAAGGAAACAACTTTACATGTACTGATTGCTGGGAGAGGCATTGTTTCAAATGAATGTGCAGTATATTAGGTCTTCTTGCCGATGACAGAACAGTAATTGAAATAGTTGCCATGATAATCAGGGGGAGACAGTTTACATTAGGGACATTATTTCCCTCATTAATTTCCATTTTTACTTGGGGCTGCAGTGCTTTTTCAGCATGTATGGACTGAAATGCTTTGTCTGAGAAGAGTGCTAATGAACCGTGTTAGGGAGTTTATGCCTCATATATCACTTTGTTTCATAACAGAAATTTAAAATCGCCTTGGATTATCCTTCTAGCCTTTCTCATCTGTATTTATGATCATAGTAGCTAGTAGGATACCATAACAGCTAAGGAGATCAGAGTCCTTGAGTGAAATCGAGAGAATTGACTCTTAAAACATACGGCTAGATAAAAATTAATTACCAGTGATTTCTTTCCAGTGGTTAAAACAGAAGATACATTCCATTTAAACATGCTTCAGATTTAAAAATATTCATGCTCACTAAGTTTGTTGCCAAACCAGAGTAGCAAAGCAAGAGATGTCCTTTACAAAAGAGTTTGCTAAACCAGGGCTTCCTTGTTGCAACAGCTTCCCTCTAATTCTTCCTGTTAGAGCAAAGAATCTGGTATAAAAGAGTTTGTTCTGGGTGTGTGTGAAAGTATGTTGAATGAGAAAATATATAGGACAAAAAAATCTTCAGATAAGAAGATCATCTTCAGATAAGAATATAAAACAGTAATTGTTTTAAGTACTTAAAAGTAACTGCAAACTAAAAAATGGGGGGGAAACCCAAAAATAACCAGGCTTTGATAAAAAAAATTACACTGAATATATATACTTCTGCATTTCTGAATGGACTTGACCTTAAAAATGTGTTCATTATACTCTCTATATCCGTTGTTTCCAGAACCTTATTAATCTTATGTTGATTCTCTCATTGCCTACTGAATGGTCTTTTGTCTTCTGCTCAACAATCCTCCTGAATTACATATGAAATCTTGCTGCTCTCTAGTTTAAAATGTGTTAATATTTGTACAAAGCTTTGGGGATACATTATGCCTATTTGTTAGGACTCCTGATCACATTACCTGTTCCAGGAAACTTCTCAAAATTTCTAAAACACATTTTGTTTACTCTCATTTCCCTGCCAGATCATCATTCCTCATATAAAGAGCCACTCCTATCAGTGATCAGTCCCAGCCCCTTTGAGGAAGTTTCCTCAGCAATGTGTGTGGGTGTGTGTGGGGGTGTGTGTGTGTGAGAGAGAGAGAGAAAGAGAGAGAGAGAGAGAGTGAGTGTTTCACAGGAATTGTTCCAAATCACTTAGTGACCAAGTCCTGGAGAGCAAGGGATGGTGTTTCTTGTAGCCTTAATGCTTAGCATGTAGTGAGAGCACTGAACCAAGTGAATTTCTAGTTCACCACTATACTTTATGTGCTTACCTACCTACAACAATCAAGGGACCCATAAGAGTTAGAGCTGAAAACACCAAATAAGAACAAACCATAGAAACCAACAATAAGAAAACCAAAACAAATAGAAACAATCTAGCCCCCTCCCTTTTACTTCTAGCAATTCATTAGGTCTCACAAAGTCATCTGGTAAAGTAAGGAAAAAGAATAACTCCAACTGACTCATAGCATTGCTGGCCTGCTAGTGGGTTTTCAGAGACTGAAAAACTCTTGGAAATGCTGAGTGCTGTGAATGTTAAAGGAGCCCTGGTGGTGCAGTGCTAAATGAAAGGTCAGAGGTATGTACCCACCAACCATCGCCAGCAACTCCACGGGAGAAAGCTGCAGCCATCTGCTTGAGTTAACATCTACAGCCAGCTTGATTGACAATGTGTGTCTGTGTCTGTAAAAGTCACATATCTGCAATGTTTGTGTTTTATTGAAACCTCCTCTTATTATTTTCCCCAGATACATCTTAAACAATGACAACGGTATCAGAATTCCTCAAGCAGGCCTATTTTATTGATAATCAAGAGCAGGAATACATTGTAAGTAAAATGACAATAAAGTTACTGAATTCCACTGTTAAAACAGGAATGAGTATTGAGCAGATGGACTTTTTAATGTATTTCTCTCTCTTTCATAGAACACTGTGAAGACATCCAAAGGGGGCCCAGGCTCAGCAGTGAGCCCCTACCCCACCTTCAATCCATCCTCGGATGTTGCTGCTTTGCACAAAGCCATAACGGTTAAAGGTAATGGATTACCTGGACATTCTACAGGTCACAGTGGAGCGAGTCTTAAAAACGTACCTGTGCAATGGGAAGAATTTCTCGTTTTGAAGATGATAAAAATGTGTTTTCTTTCTTAAAACTTAGGGCTGTCCTTCCCAGCTCATTTTTAGCAGAGTTTCATCAGCACCTCTACTCATGTTTGGGATTTGAAGTGGGGTTAAACTGCAACACTGAATGGAATGACAGTCCTTTCAGTTCTTTGACATTTAGTATAGTAATCTGGGATTTTTAAAATTATTTTTATTTTATATTGTATATATATGTAAAAATATATATATATATATATATATATATATGTAAATTTGTATATCTTGTGTTTTGTTTATACACATTATATTTCACACATTTCTCTAATCACATAGTGTTTAACAGTCTCATTTTCATATACGGTGGTTTATAAAATTAATCACCATTGATCCAGATCCACCGTTACCCTGACTTTTCAGGTCCCAACTAATGTCTTATTTCTTTCCTTCTTTCCTTCCTTCCTTCCTCCTTCACTCCCTCTTTCTTTCCCTCCCTCTCACTCTCCCTCCCTCCTTCCTTCCTTCTTTACTTCCTTCCTCATAATTCAGAGTTTCCATTTTTATTTTCCCTAGAAAATACTATTCTCAAAGTATAATGCCATGAGTAAGTGCAGAGCTCTTGGTTGAGACAAATAGATATTTAGTTAGCTTTTAAAAAATAATTACTCAGAAAATGTTATGAAGCAGTATATCAACTTTTGGTCGACATGAATAGTCCATATAGTCGGAAACTGAACTTTTAAATTTATTGTGAAAGACTGTCTCATGCATTTGTGGGCTAATAATTAGAGGGGAAATGATCATTGGAAAAACTGTGTAGGCAGAAGAATGACTTGATAAGTATTCAGTTTGTATCAGTGATAAGGAAGCACCTGGCTTTTCAAAGCCTGCTTTTGTTGTTAGTTGCCTTTGAGCTGATTCTAGTTCATAGCAATCTTATGTATGACAGAATAAAACATTGGCCAGTCCTGAGTTGTATTCCTCTTCATTGGTGTGTTCAACTCCTTCATTGGGGCACTGTTTTAAATGCCCTCTAACCAAGGAGGTCATGTTTTAACGTTATATTTAACAGTAAATATTCTATTATGGCCTCCTAGAGAGGGTGAAACCAGGTTGCTCTTTGGAGACAAGGATTCTGAGACTTCGTCTGACATACTTTGGATATATTTCAAGGAGGAACTAGTCCTTGGAGAGGGACGTCATGCTTGGGGAGGGTAGAGGGACGGCGCAGGAGAGGAAGACCCTCAAAGAGATAGATTGATTCAGTGACTGGGATAATGAGGATAAGTGTATCAGATACAATAAGGATAGCATAGGATAGAGCAGGGTTCAGGGCTCTTGTACACAGAGTCACTAAGAGTCACAAGTGACTCAACAGCATGTAATAGGAATAGTATGTTTTTTTCATTTTTCATTTTTCTCATTTTTCCAACCTATTTTTTTTTCCATTGGCCAGGCTTTAGAAATAGATCACTAGATATTAGTTCCTAGTCAATATTTGATGTTGCTATGATACTGGATGTTCTAATACCTTTCCACCATGGTTAAGACTTGCCAGTATTTTGAGTTATCAGTGCATTCATTTCCATTATTATGACAGCATATAAGCTACCACAATGCGGCATTGATTGGTGGCCTTTGGACTTTTATTCTCAGGTGTGGATGAAGCAACCATCATTGACATTTTAACTAAGAGAAACAATCAGCAACGCCAGCAAATCAAGGCTGCATATCTCCAGGAAACAGGAAAGGTACGCTATCGTAGAGAACTTGGATATTTAATTTCAATACTAGCCATGTATGTGTAGATCTTGAAGCAGTTACTAAATCTTTTAGCCTCTGCCTGCTGTTTTCTCATTATATGCCAGAGAACAAAATTTGAGTTCTTAATCTCCTTTGTTGCAAATGATTCAATTCATATTTGACTGTTAATAGACTCATTGTCTGATGATGGTCTTTGAGAGTTGGTGTTCTGCATAAGAGAAATCTTTACTTTGAACACAACCAACATTAAAGTTAATTGGTAATAAAGATACTCTTGATAAGATGTGCCCTGCTACGACTATGTAATGTCTAATATGAAATGTAGAACAAAGTACTACTTTAAATATGTTCTATATTTTTTATACTATAAATGAGTTGATTTTTTTTTTACGAGTTCAGGTAATGAGTTTATGATGTCAGTATGTAATTATAATGTTTATTTAAGCCATGCAAACATCAAATAATGGAAAGAGTAATACATCATTTCAAAAGCACTTATTCTAAAAAATAAAAGAAAAACGTTTAAAGCTCTTATCCTAAAAAAATAGTTGTCAAAGCATCCAATAAATTTCTTTCTAGATCTAAAAGATTTAAAATCCTAAATGTATGATAAAATTTTGTATGTAAAATAAGTTTAAAAAAAACTCACTTCTGTTGAATTGGTACTAAGTCATAGCTGATATGCCAGTGGATTTTCTGAGACTGTTAGTCCCATTGAAGGAGAGTACCCAGCTTTCTCCTGTGAACCAGCTGGTAGATTTGAACTTCCAGACACTACCTTTGGGTTAGCAACACAACTCCCTCTAAACTCCATCGTAAGGAGACTCTAAAAGATGGCTAAGTTAGCGATCAGCAGTTTATTAAGACAGAAGGACATATATTTTAACACACTGCTCATGAAGCCCTGGTTTGATGGAATTTTGTTTTTATAGCCACTAGATGAAATGCTGAAGAAAGCCCTCACTGGCCACCTGGAGGAAGTTGTCTTGGCTCTGCTGAAAACTCCAGCCCAGCTTGATGCGGATAACCTCCGTGCTGCCATGAAGGTAAGTCACTTGATTTTAGCAAAAGGTCTTTCCTAAAGTTAATGAACAGTTCAGGTTTGTTCATTCCTACTGTTGTTTCCTTAACATCTTGTATAATGCCTGTCAATCTGCGGGGATTTAATAAATTAATGAACCGATAAACAAATGTTGACACAAACCACTGGGCTTCTGTCTACCCATCTACCATTGATGCTGGATGAGCCATAGATCTGCATTTTACTACGTTTTATCTAAAATGTTAGCTATAAACTAGTTTTATTTGGAACAATAAGCTTAATAGGTAAAGACTATTGTAATTAATAATGCCAGATTCAGGTAAGTTTTAAGACACATAAATTAGATGATGCCCTTAACTGAAAAGTTTTCCACCACTTCATATTTTTCTCTCTTGTTAAATTCAGGGTCTGGGAACAGATGAGGACACGCTGATTGAAATTTTGGCAACAAGAAATAACAGAGAAATGAGAGAAATTAACAGAGTCTACAGAGAAGGTAAATTGTAGTCTAATAATCCAGGTCACTTAGTTGGAAAGAGAAAACTATTATGCTCTCCTTAAAATTGAAATTTAAATTGACTGTCTCATTTATAATGACAAACTCAATTTAAATCATTTGATTCATATTTTAAAAATCATATACTTTGAGGTGTATTTTACTAGAAAGATCATTCATCTCTTATTTTGAGGAGTATCAAACATGTCTTGAAAGAAAAATACTCTGCATTTATCCTTGAAATGGTAAAGCTTTGGTAATTAGAATCCTCTGATGGAAAACTTAACTTGACCATTGTGAACCGAAATGATTCCCATGCTCTATTTCTAGGTTTTTGTGAACCGAAATGATTCCCATGCTCTATTTCTAGGTAGATCCACAGTAATGAAAGATGAGTCATGCTCCTTTGATCAGGGAAACACTTCATCTAAATAACTAATTCAACAAAAAAGGAGCATAAAAGAAATTGAGCCCTGAACCATGCTGGGATTTTACGGTTTCTCTTCTTTATTTCTTGCCAGTCTTGGCTTTTATACTTCTCCAACCCAGTACCTGACACCAAAAAAATAAAACCAAACAAACAAACAAACAAAAAAAAACACCTTTCTGCTTGATCCTTAATGTTAGGTAGAGAGAATACAATGTGTCTTGCTTATTGTTTTAAGAGCAGTTTAGTAAACAAATTAAAGAAAACTTTATTTTCTACAGATTTTCTCTCACTACCAGTCTTTGTAAAGCTCCAGTGGCAGTTATGCTGCTAGTCCAAAGGCAAGTGGTTCAAATCCACCAGCCATTCCAGGGAGGAAAGATGGGCAGTCTCCTCCACTCTGTTTATAGCCACTGAAAACCCACTGGAGAGTCAGTTCTGACTCTGAAACACATAAAAACAACCACTGTTTGTGTTAGAACCATGTGTCTGTATAATAAATAAAAAAAAGGCTGTTTAACGTGGTATGTTTGATACCATTGTTTGCAAATGTAAATATCCACATTGTATATTACACTCAATGTGTTTCGCAGTGATGTTGTTGTTGATTGCCATCAAGTCGAGCATGACTCACAGCGACCCTATGAACAAAAGGCCTGAAGTCTTTCCATGACTATCGTCATTTATCAAAGTTCATAGAGTTTCCAGAGGCATGTTACTTAGGAAGTGGACGCTACTCTTCCTTCCAAACTTACTAAATTTCCATGCTTTCCTCTCAATCAAAACTTCAATTTCTATTTTTTCCATTGTAGTAATATTTTCTGAAGGTATCTATGGACATTTGGGAAAAGATAATATTTAAGTATAAGATAGATATAATTTTAAAAGAAATAGTTTGTGTACACCAAGTACCTTTTATTTATTTAATATAATATTTCTATTAATTCTATTTGCCTGCTTAAATGTTGGTATATTGGATTTGGTGAGGGTTTTTTTTTTTTTTTTCAGAATCCATTGTTATGCAACATAAACCTTTATCATTTATCCTTATTACCAAATGGAAGCTAGCTTTGTGATTGTAGGTTTTCATTTACAGTATTATCTAAATTGATTCTGTTGTCCTTACTACTTACTGCTAACTGCCACTGAGTCAGTTCTGACCTATGACAATCCCTTGTGTGTTGAGTATTGCTGTGCCTCATAAGAATTTCAAGCAGCTTTCAAAACTGGAGTTCCAGGCTCGTCTCACTGGAGGTAGTCACACACTTTGCTGTTTGAGCCATCTCGGGACCCCTTCTATTTCCATGCAGGAAATAATTTTGAAGATCCAAATTGTTATATGCTCTGTTTTCTCTTGTTATATAAAATATTAATATTTTAAAATGTGTCTGTTAATCGTTGAACACTGTGTTACTGAAATTTCTAAGCCAGTGTATAGATGTCAGAAATCGTCCTCATCATCTTTCATTAGTTTTTTGCAAAATATGCTTTTGTATTTTTCAGAACTGAAGAGAGATCTGGCCAAAGACATCACTTCAGACACCTCTGGTGATTTTCAGAAGGCTTTGCTTGCTCTTGCCAAGGTATAAATAAATATTTGATGGAATGTCATTTTTATAATTGAAGATTTGAGAACTCTAGCTATGAGTAATACATGCTATTTTTTAGAAAAAAATAATATCATTGTTATGATTTTAGGAAAAATTGAGTAAATAATGTGACTCTATGCTAGAATGAGACTCTACACTAGAACACATTTTACAACAAAATTTCTTTTCAGGGTGACCGATCTGAGGATCTTGGTGTGAATGAAGACTTAGCTGACTCAGATGCCAGGGTAAGCAAGAGTGTCCAGAACAGGAATAAGTTTCCTATTTTGAGAGGGGCTAGCCCTTGGTGCTGTCTGTATAAGAGGAAATCAGAGATCTTCCAAGAGGCCAAGAGTGCCTTAATATTCATCCCTTGAATGGTGTATACTTTCTTATACTATATTTGAGCAGTCTGAGAGAGAGAGAGAGATCAATCTATTAATTTTCAATAAATCTTGTTGCTCATAAAACTCTAAATGATTAAAAGAGCAATGAGAGTTTGATTTGTCACTCCAAAGAATTGATTTCTATTTTAAAGAAACTTTTGATTGTAACTTGAATGGAAGTACACAGAACAAATTGAATAAATTTGTCACAGTAAATCTGTCCACCCATTCACCTATTTTGTTTTAGAACACTGGTTCCAAATGCTGAACTTTAGACAAAATTTTAAATTTTTATTTACCAGGTAAAAAATAAAGGAAAAAGTAAATTTTTAGTTTAGGCAAAATGGTAAGAGTGAGCATATCTAACTATCTTTTCACAACCAAGACTATAAAGACTTAATTTATATGTTTATATTATAAAAATACCACATCATAATAATGTGAAATAAATTTTCATAATGAACTTGTATGCTTTTAAGTTTATGTTTGCATATAATTTCATCAACCCATTGCCAACGTTGGAAAACATTTTCCCCTTTATGGCTTGAAATTTCTGTTTTTAAAACCAATTATTACTTGCATGCATCTTCTTCATAGGAGAGCATTCTCTATATAAATTAACCAAAATGCATTAATAGGAGTACAAATTTAGTTCTCCCTTTCCATCCCTTCACGCACCTTGTACACTGCCTATTACACAACACCCATTCATTAATGGTTAATTGACTGCATGCATAGCAGATACATTTGTTCCAGAAAAATCCAAACAACCACTCATATTCATCATAGAAAACTTATTAATTCTAATACGAACTACGTGAGCATGCTAAAGGACAAATGTTAGTGCAACAATGAAAGAATTCTTTTAAAGACAAAGTGAACTGGGTAGGGCATGGGTAGGAAGGAAAATGTGTAACAGTGAATGAATGGAAATCCAAGTTTTGTGTAACCATTTGTTAAAATACTAATTAAAAAATAAATGCTAAAAAAAAGGCAAATGATAGTTTTTAATTCTTATCTGTAATAAAAATATTCTTAATTACTTATAGGATTTCTGAACTTGTTTTTTATTTAACAATATCAAGGACTATTAGCTAGAAATCTCTGGAGATTAATTGTGTTAGTGGGACCCACAGAGATGATGATAATGAATATTTCAGAATTAACAGATAATGCTTGTGATAATACAGCAGGGATTGTCATTATCATTTACAGAAGACAGATAAATAGTAAAGGTGGATTATTTGTTTAAGATTATATTTTTATATAATAAAAATAATAAGTTGACAGGTCAGAATTTCAGTTCAGGAATGCTAATGTTACAATTTGAACCTTCATAAGGAATGTACAGCTAACACAAAAGTGGTGACTCTTTGGAGGTTCAAATCCGCCAGTCATTCTGAGAAAGATGAGTAATCACCTCCTGTACAATTTACAAGCTCCAAAAATCCACTGAAAGGTCAGCTATGAGTTAGTTCCAACTTGATGGCAGTGAGAGTGAGATAATAGTAAAATTTAAGACCTAGGTTATTGACGATTTATTCTTAGCACTTATTAGCATTAACTTTGAACAGTAAAGTAATAAGATTATTTTAGAGAGCCCTTTGGTGTCTTGATACATAGAATAATCTCCATGAAGTTTTTTTCACAGTTTCTCTGCAAATAAATATTCAGTCTTCCATGTTTGCAAGACACTTTGAGAGGATGCTGTGGAAAGTTCATGACAAACAAAAGAAGGTCCCGACATTTAAAGAACTTGCATTCTTCATTTTACCCATTCTGATCTAATGCTGTTGTTGATTGCCATCGAGTTGAGCACAACTCATAGTGACCCTATGAACAGAAAATCTAAAGCCTTTCTGTAACTATCATCACGTCTCAAAGTTCATAGACTTTCCAGAGGCATGTTGTTTAGAAAGTGGATGCCACTCCTGCTTTTAATCAAGGTTCATAGGGTAATAATATTTTTCTTACATACAAAAATTAAAATACTCATGCTTTAAAGTGGGAGGTCTTGACCTCTCACAGATTTGCAGCATGAATCCCCCACCCCTTGATAAATAGAAACCAAGTGCTGAAGGATGCTGCTGCCTAAATTTTCTATAAATCCCTAGGTCTGGCCTGGTGGTGAAGTATAAAATGAAATCTTTTCCACAGTTGAAAACTGATTTTCTAAAAATGCCATTATCCACCTTCTGCTATAAACCAAAAAATAGCTGTCTAGAAAATCTATCTAAAGACCTAACGGTGTTATGCAAATATTTCCTTTTGTGATCTTTGACAGGCCTTATATGAAGCAGGAGAAAAAAGAAAGGGGACAGATGTGAACGTATTCACTACCATTCTTACCACACGGAGCTATTCCCAGCTTCGCAGAAGTAAGTAACAGTACGTAAATAAATACGAAAGAAGCTGATTTCTGGAACCTACTGTTTCTGTTTGTGAAGACAAATAAGGGGCGAGGAAAGGGAGAAGTCTTAACAGAGCCAGTCATACACGAAATGCACATAGTGCACATGATCTGTTGCAGCTATTTGTTCATTTATCTAAACTTACAGAGCTATAAGGCAGCTCTGGAGTGTGGTCCTGGAGGAGTTGTACTTCTCCCCCAATGGTGCAGCCTGGCGAGAGGTTCTAATCCACCTGCACCTCTGTAGGAAAATGTGAACATTTTTCACCCATTTGATTTATAACCTCCCCCAACCATGCTGGATGGTCAACTGTGAGTTAGTTTTGACTTGAAGGCAGTGAGAGATTGAGTTACAGAGCCATAATTTTAATGGTATTTATAATTTGTTTTGTGACTTTAGCATCTGGAACATTATTTTTACTCTGTTATCAATACAGGATTTGAAGTAGCACATGACACCTATACAACAGAACAGATGATATGTTATTTTTTCAATCAAGCCTAAGTGAAGAAAAATGTCTATAAGTGTTCTGAAAAACAGTAACAACAAAAAAGTTCCTGTTGGCCTGCTATTTAACTCTGAGCCCCTTAGAAGCCAGAGCAAAGGGAAAATCATGGTGGTTATATGAAGTTCATTATCTTATAGCATACTGGTTTCTAATTTTAACATAAGAGAAATTTACTACATAGATCTTTACTCAAGGGAGTACTGTTTGTCTTAATGCTGCTGTAGTAAAAGTCATGTAATCTTCAACATTTGCAAAATTTCCTCAAAATAAAAAAATAATAGCAAAACAGTAGAATTGCTTTCCTATAATCCCAAAAGGACTACCCATTATTACACTCAATTTAATAAGTAATTTTAAGTTTTGTTCTAATTTTGCTCAAGTTTGTTGAAGAATGTGGTGGTTTGCACATATCTTAATTTATATGTACTATTCAGTGTTTCAGAGGTATGCCAAGTACAGTCAGCATGACATGAACAAGGTTCTCGATCTGGAGATGAAAGGGGACATTGAGAAATGCCTCACAGCTATTGGTATGTAGCCCTGAAGATATTTTCATACCTTCAAAATATCTTTTCAATGATGGCCTTCCTAAAACAAAATAGCACTTAGTCCCACATACCCAACTATAATAGATCCGCATTTTAGATGAGAATGGTGTATAAAATTATGACAATGCATATTTATTTAGTTAAAGGTATGTTGAAGACTTTCTTAGTCATACAAGTGTGAAGTCTTTGGGGAAGTATAATGAGTTTATTAAGCATCCATTATTCTATGCACAAAACCAGGCTGAGCACAAGACAAGGATCATCAGTGCTATCTTAAGAGTCTGAGATTTGTTGTTGTTATGTGCCGTATTCAACGGCTGCCTCAGCCACTGGCTGATGGTACGATCAAGTGTGTGAAAGTCTAGTCCCTTATGTCTGGGCTGAAAGGAAGTACATGCTAGCTTCATCCCTAGTTCACCTAGGGATGAGGCCGACCATTCAGGATTGGAGACTTTGGATCTAAGACTGTGCTTCTCAAATCTTAATAGGAACGTGAACCTTCCAGAAGTCCAGATAAAATTCAGGTTATAAATCAGTAGGTCTAGTAGTGTGGGGCCTGGGACTCAACATTTCAAATCACAGGTTTAAGTACCAAGATAATGAAAGAACCTTAAGACTTGACAAATTCGCTGGTATTTTATTTGTGTATCCATCTTGTATATAAAGCTTAGCTTATCCTAGGACATTATTTTTTATTAAAATACAAAGAAAGCACTTATTTGTTTGGTAGTGTACCACTGATGCTTACTACAGTAACTATTGATATTGCTCCTGGGATGGATTGAAGTAAAAGGTAATGGCCATCAGAAAGAAAAATACCTCAATCTACCATCTAAAGAGTAACAAGTTGGTGGTGTCATCCTTAGAGAGTGGCTCCGCTAACCCAAAGTCCACACCTCTCTAGAAGTTCAAATCCACCAGCAGCTCCTGGGACAATAGATAAGCAATCTCCTGGCATGTGATTTAAAGCCTCTGAAATTCACTTGCAGGTCAGCTTTAAGTTGGTTGTGATTTGATGGCAAGGAGTATCTCTTATTGAGGCACAAAGTAGCTGTTAGAAATAGCAGTGAGAAACATAATGTGTAAAACTGCATCTCGTACTTCTTTTGTGTGCATGTTTCAGTGTGTGTGTGTGTGTGTGTGTGGTAAATATGTCAATGATTGTCTGTCTTACAGTGAAGTGTGCTACAAGCAAACCAGCTTTCTTTGCTGAGAAACTTCATAAGGCCATGCAGGTATCATTTTGTTTATATGACTGTTATTATTGGGGTTGGGTGCTATGCAGTTGGTCCTGACTCATAGAAAAAGTGTTGCAGCCACTTGATGAATCATCTCATTGAGGTTCCTTTTTTTTTTTTAACTGGCCTTCTATTTTATCAAGCATAGTGGTCTTTCCAGGGTCTGGACCCTCTTGACATCAAACATGGTTCAAAGTTCATGAGATGGACTTTCACTATCCTTACTTCTCAAGAGAGCTCTGACTGTACTTCCTCTAAGACAGATTTGTTTGTTTTTTGGCAAGCCATGATATACTCCATATTCTTCACCAATGTTCTATGTGCCTTGCTTAGTAGAAGAAGTTATTATTTACAAAGTGAAGACCAAAAGTTCTCATATATGGTCATCATATATATTTTTCTATCTTGTATTTTAAAAGACAAGCATTGTGCTATCCACTGCAGAGGTTATAACAATAAAATTTACTTCGATTTAGTATTTTTTTAAATAATTAAGAGTGTAAGGTCAATTAGCATATACTTTATGGTTTACCTGTTTGCTTAATACCTGAGTCAGAAAAAAAAAAAAGACAATAAATACTTCATAATACTGGAAAACAGGTGAATTCGCTACTTCTGACTTTGGAAATTTATGTCGCCTTTCTGCGAGCTTAATTTAGGCATTAAATTTGAGTGGGAATTAACCAGATGAGAACAAGAGTGGAAGAGATGAGCCAATAAAGAAAAGTTAAGCTAGTAGAAATATTTAATGGTTTATAGGCAAAATATTGTATAATGTGTGCACAAAACAAAGTGATTGTAGTCAGTGGAAGAAGTTATAGAATTAGGCAGGGCATTCAAAGCTGTCAAAATTAATGGGACCAACCAAGGTACAATGAAGCATTTTCAAAAGATGAATTACATACTTAGATTTCAAATTTATATTTCACTTACTGTGTAATTATCTAATAATTTAGATACAAGAAAGATGAGACTAACGGCCAATTATGAGCTTTTCAAAACTTTCATCTGGCTTATGTGGCAGCAAATTTCTTGTGGTTTCATTACCACATGTTTCAAGTAGTGTATGTGTTTGTGTAGACAAGGAGTTGTGTCTCCATGGAAACGTCATGGTTAAGTGGAAGGACTACACTTTATATAAAAGTCTTTATCATGCTTTTAGAGTATGCTTCAAAATGAGACATTTAACCTTTTTTTTTTTGAAACAGGGGGCAGGAACTCGTCATAAGGATTTGATCAGGATTATGGTTTCCCGTTCTGAAATTGATATGAATGATATCAAAGCATACTATCAAAAGATGTATGGTATCTCTCTTTGCCAAGCCATCTTGGTATGTTGTACTTTTTTTATAATTCTACCCAAATAAATCACAATCTTTTTATAGTGGCTTTGAAGAAAAGTGCTAACTCTTTGTCTCTGTTAATTTCTTGTGTTAGATTAATCTATTATTAGGATGTTCACAAATACTGCAAAATAGTTCACACCTAAATTAAAACGTCACTGGTTAAATATTCCATTGAGTTTTGTACTAAAGAATTAGATACACTTTCCAATTAAAGTCATGGGGGGAAAAATATATATATATATATCTCGCATGTAAATTTAGCAACCAAATAGATATTTTAGTGTTTTTGCTAGTATAAATAGATATCATGATTTATCTTCGAGATTATATTCATGACAAGATTAAAAATTTATTATCCCAAATTTTATTTTCGCAAAATTTTATTACATGTAAAAATGTGTAATATAGATAGATATTCAAGTTATCTTATTAAAATGCTAAGAAATGAAAAGAAAACCATTTTGAACCTTTTTGAAAGAAAAACTGATTTAAATTTAATCTATTATATTGGACAACTAAATTCTACTAGGAAAAGTGAGAAAGTCCCAAGGTTAAAACTTTCTTTTTCTGCTGAGTGAGTCTCCTGCTTCCTCACGTATAATATGAGGTTATCCAGTGTCACAGCTATTTAATTCTGTGTGATCTTTCATTTTTGCAAAATAAAAACTCTATCACAAAGTATACTCAATTTAGAGGAATTTGTAATCTGTGTTTTGAAATCTATTCCTTTTATACAAGTAAAAATATTTGTTGAATGATATTTTTATCAAAGCTTATGGATCATTTATATACTGTCATGTATGGTCTATAACCATCAGGCCTACTACCATTATAATTCTATAATACAGACCATCTTATATTTGCTATAGTTTTATGTAGCATTAAATATATTTTCTTTTTTAATCAACAGGATGAAACCAAAGGAGATTATGAAAAAATCCTTGTGGCTCTCTGTGGAGGAAACTAAACATTTATTTGATGGTTTCAAGCAATATATCCAGGAGCTTTTTAAATAAGATCTTTTTATTCTATAGGATAGGCATAAATAGAAGAGTTTTTTTCAGCAAAAAAGCTTTTAAGATCCTAGCTACTTGCCTTCTGAAAATGCCATAGCCTAGAAAGCCTTTTTATATCATATTTCTGTATAGTACAGTTAAGATTTTTTAAAATAGAATTTTTTTCCTAAATCATAAAACCCATAAGCAAACTGTAGTAGTAGCATTACTCAAGAAACATCTTTATGTAACTGAAAATAAAATGAGTGTAAGGGACAAATGGTGTGTTGGTGTGTCATTGGGTTTTTTATTCTGGCTGTTAAAAAAAAATGTTTGCAGTGGCTTAATTTGACATGAAGGAACATAAACCCTTAATTACAATTACTTAAAGAAATACATTTAATATCTGAATTAATGAAGATATTCACAAAATTGAATAGTGGACTATACAATTATACAAAGTTACAAAATGGGCCCATCTATTGTCATGTGGCTAGAAGCTATTGAAGGAAAAGAATGGATTTGTTGCACCACATTTAAAGATGAAATGTCAGTGACACTGAAAATGTATCACTTTTTAAAAAGTTTAATTTTAATTAAAAGTTTAATTGCATGTTTAATTTTTCCCTAAGAAACTCTTTCCCAGGATGGCCATACTATTTGACTTTACCACCAGCAATTTATGAGTGATCCATTTTTTCCACATTTTCAGCAGCACCTGCTTGGTGAGCGTGTTACTTATTTTTTCCCCATCTAATTTCTGGTCTGTCCATTTGCTGTACAGAGCTAACTTGTGGTTGCTATGATGCTAAACACTGACACTGATGTGTCAAATGTGAGAAAATGGTTACCCATGGTGGACAGTGTTTGGTGGAGTTTCCTATTTAAAACAAGCTTAGAAGAAGGAGTGGTGTCAACTTCTGAAATAGCTTGCCTCTTCCTTCTAGAAACTCTGACTGTGGAGAAACTACAAAAGGTATACAAGTGTTCAGGTCTTTCATTCATAGGGTTGCTATGAGACATCTACGACTTGATGGCACCTAACAACAACAATTTTAATATTATTTTGGTTGTTGGCTTTTGAGAGTTTCTTATATTTTTTACTAGTTTATTTACAAAATTCTAATACAAATTTGAACAAATTCTTTCAATTTCCCTCACCCTCTCACCCATCAAATTGTGTAACACAATGATTAATCCCTCTTCTCCCTGTAGATCCACATCCCCCTGCTTCCCGCCTCCCCCACCCCTCCTGGATCCTTATACTCATTCTACGATAACAGTCTTATACAATATTTATCTTTGTGGGATTGAGTTAGTTCACTCAGCATAATGCTCTCCAGTCCCTCCCAAGTTAGGTAATAATTTACAGTAATTGCACCTGCGTGCTGCATAGTATTCCATTGTGTGAATGTACCATAATTTCTCAATCCATTCTTTTGTGGTTGGACATTTAGGCTGTTTCCATGTTCTTGCGATGGTGGATAATACTGCTATGAACATTGGTGTACAAATCTCAGTTTGTGCCTCAGTTCTCATATTCTTGGGGTATATTCCAAATAGTGGAATAGCTGGATCACATGGAATTTCTTTGTTCAGCTTTTCAAGGAAGCACCAAACTGCCTTCCAGAATGGTTGCACCATTTTATAATCAATCCCACCAACAATGTATAAGAGTTCCTTTCTCACTACATCCTCTCCATCAATTACTTGCTGTCCTATTAAACTTTGCCACTGTTAACTGGAGTGAGATGGTGCTTCATTGTGGTTTTGATTTGTATCTGTCTTATTTGTCTGTTTGCCATTCAAATATCTTCCTTTGTGAAGATACTATCCATGTCTTTTGCCCATTTTGTAATTGGGTTATCAGTCTTTTTCTTGTGGAGGCCCAGGAGTAGTCTGTAAACATTTGTTACAAGATTCTTATCTGAGATGATATTACCAAATGTTTGTTCCCAGTCTGTAGTTTTTCTTTTCACCCTGTTGGGAAAAAGTTTTTGATGTGCACAGAGATTTAATCTTTAGAAGGTCCCATGCATCAATTTTTTTCCTCTAGATTATGCTTTCTGGTTGTATTTGGCAATCTCTTTATACCTTGGACTAGCACTTCTAAGCTTGATCCAAGTTTGTCCCTTATCAATGTTATGGTTTGGGGCTTTTCTCACAAGTCTCTGATCCACCTTAAATTGATTTTTGTGTATGGTGTGAGATGTGGATGCTGTTTCAGCTTTCTGCAGGTTTGCCAGCATCATTTGTTGAAGAGGTTTTCATTTCATAATTTGATAGCTTTGATTTCCTTGTCAAATATCAGTTGATCATAGATAGCTGGATCTATTTCTAGGTTCTCAAGTCCATTCCATTGGTCTTATGTGCCTGTCATTGTACCAGTACCATGCTGTGTTGGTGACCACTGTTGTGTAGTAGGTTTTGAGGTCAGGGAGTTCTATGCCTCCAATGTCATTTTTGTTTCTCAGAAGTGTTTTGCTTATTCTGGGTCTCTTTTCTCTTCAAATAAGTTTGATAATTTCCTTTTCTTTATATATTTTAAATGTTAGTCCTTTTTGGATGTCTGGCTTACAGACAGTTCTCAGTGTGTCGCTTGCCTTTCCATTTATTTAATAGTCTCTTTTTAAAAGCTGAACTTGTTTTTTATGAGGTCTGTTTTATCAGTTTTCCTTTTCTAGACCATGCTGTTGACATCACTATTAACTCTTTACTCAATCTTATGTTTTGGAAAATCTCTATTTTTTTTATCTTGAAAGTTTCACAGAAATTTTCTAGTTTGGTTTGCAGAAAGTGTGTGTCTAATTTTCAGCTAATTTTATGTAAGCTATTGGATTTAGGCTAAGGTTGATTTTTGCTATGGATCTTTCATTGTTCCTGTGTCATTTGCTGGAAATGTTATCATTCCTCCATTGAATTACCTTTATGCTTTTGTAAAAAAGCAATTGGGCATATTAATGCG